CATTTGTGTTTCAGTACAATGTTGTCCCATCATCAATGTATTAAAAATTTTGAGATGACACAACTCAATGATTTTATATCTCTTTGCAATGTAATAATTTCTTTATAGGACAAAGGCGGAATATAATTGGTGAGACTGACAATGTCTAGCAATGGGTTAAAAACGAAAAAGACATGCAAGAGGTAAGAGAAACAGTAGGGAAAAACCTACTAATGGGCGGGTGGATCGTTTGAGCTCAGAAGTTCAAGACCAGCCTGAGCAAGAGCGAGACCCCATCTCTACTAAAAATAAAAAAATTAAAAAAAAAAAAAGAAAAACCTACTGATGCATGAAGAATCGCCAGAGTATTAAATGGCAATTGTATGTGTGACGTCTCACCAAACTGCAGCCCTGACAACTTCTAAAAGTCATAAATAAAATATACAATAGGAGATTATCTAGACAGACTACTTTTTGTTTATAATACTGTCAGCGATATCAACATAAATCAAGTCTATTATCATACCATAATAATGATGGTTATAGCACTCCTTATCTCCAGTATATTTTATGGAATATATGTTCCCTTGACTAAAAATTAAAAATAAAATCCCATTTTGTCTATTTATTATCTTTTCAAATGAATAAATCTTTATTAAGCACTCACTAGGTGCCCAGTAATCCTAACAGCTACTGCTTACTTGGTACCTAGTATATGTCAGATGTATGTACATACATACATCATGTATGTCCCGCAGGGGTGTGCATTACCCCAGTACACACAGCATAGGGGCATGGTGGGTACTGAATTGAATTTGAATAACAATCATCCAGATTAGTGAGTGAAACTAAACTCAGATATTTTATGTTCAAAGTCTGCCTAAACACATTGGCATTCTCACTACCTCTGTGATTCTTCTCTGTGCTTGATTATACTCAGGACTTTAAAAATAAAGCCCAGCTTTTGTTCCTAAATTTTTAAATAAATTTATGAATATAAAAATACACCTTTCATATCAGTGCTAATATCTAAACATTATACATAGAGCCCTTGCGGGGGAAAAATATATGCTAATGAATAAATATGCTGCCATCGCTGTCCGACAGAAAGAGGTAACACTTTTCATTGTTCACACTAATGGAGGGACAGAGACACAAGCACAGAACAGAACTGGACAGAAGTAGCAGATGGAGCCCTAAGTCCCCTTCACCAAACATTTCCATATAACCTCGCCTCCTGGTCAGCGAGGGTGACTCTCAAACATATACAAGTCTTTCTCTTAAATTTCTTTTCTGAAGTAGGGGACGCCATCAGCATTCTAACACCAACATGGCCTCATCTCACCCCAACAGTGAGACTGCTCTGTCGCCAATGAGCTCCAAAGGTCCCATCGCCTTCCTCTATTTGCCTCTCAGCAACTCTTGGCATGAGAGATCATGGTCCACAATCAAGACATTTTCTTCTTTCACTTTCTTTACACCACACAAAACGAGTTTTCCTCCTTCTTCACAACCCAACTTCTTGGTCTTCTTTGCAAACTCCTTCTATTCTATTAATATTTAGGTTTCTAACAGGGCTTTTGTTTGGATGTCTGTCTTCTCCCCGTCTACACTCTCTGAAGGCACCAGCCGCGTCCTGGTTACTCTCAAATGCATGTCCCCAGTCCACACCTTTCTCTCAAGCTCCTGACACATATCCACACCCACCTACTTATCTAGTACTCCTCCTTGCATGTTCGGGGCAGAACTCAAAGTTAACATCGGAAATAGAATTCTTGATTTTGTTCTTAAACCTTTTCCTCCCCAAATATTCTCTATCTCCAAATGGCAACACTATCCTCCCAGAACTCAGTCCAAAAATTCAGGAGCTGTAAAATTTTTATTCATTTCCCTCATCTCCCCAATTTTATCCAACAAGAAGATCTGTTACTTCTACCTCCTAAATGTATATCACTATTGATTTCTGTTCAGTTCCTATAGAGATAAGGTCTTGCTATGGTCTTGAACTTCTGGCCTCAAGCAAAGCTCCCACCTCAGCCTCGAAAAGTGCTTCGGTAACAGGTGTGAGCCACCGTGCCTGGCCTCACTTTTGTTTTTCCAAAATCCCACTCAGAGAATCTGAAGACCAATGCTATGAGGTTGAATCATACAAAAATGCCAATATCCAATTTCTTTGACCTATAACAATGGCTTCAGGCTGGGCGCGGTGGCTCACACCTATAATCCTAGCCCTCTGGGAGGCCGAAGCAGGCAGATGGCTCAAGGTCAGGAGTTTGAAACCAGCCTGAGCCCAAGAGAGCCCTGTCTCTACTAAAAATAGAAAGAAATTAATTGGCCAACTAAAAATATATAGAAAAAATTAGCCAGGTATGGTGGCATGTGCCTGTAGTCCCAGCTACTCGGGAGGCTGAGGCAGGAGGATCACTTGAGCCCAGGAGTTTGAGGTTGCTGAGCTAGGCTGATGCCATAGAACTCACTCTAGCCTGGGCAACAAAGTGAGACTCTGTCAAAAAAAAAAAAAAAGAGAGAATGGAGCCACTGCTGGAGTGCATCCTGCCCTGGGGCCCAATAGGTCCTTCATCTCCACCTCTGTGCTCCCCCACGCCCGTCATCCCACCCCCTCACACAAAAGACCTGCAACACCCCGACTCCAGCTGGGCCCAGTGGTACAGCCATAACCCCAGCACTTGCGCCCACACTATGCCCTATGCCCCAAGAAACACAGGGGTTCAGCACAGATGGGCTTCTGCCCCCAGGATTGGGGGAGGTAACGTGCATGCTCCCAGGGCCTGAGAGCAGGCCCCTTGAGCCTACCACCACCAGCAATCCCACCCCCAGCAAAGCACTACAAAACCAAGTCCTGCCTAATCAAGAAAAATCAACCAACCCAGTCTTCCTAATATTCCAGGTGGTGAATAACCCAAGAGCAAGTAGGATATTTGCCAGGTATCTAGAGGGCTATCCCTGACACCCCTCCTTTCTGACCCTCCATATGCAAGCTATCACCTTACCTCCCAAATAGCTCTCAAATCGTCAGTTCTTTCCCTTCACTGCTGCCATCCCTGGCCAGCATTGCTCCTGTATTTGTGCAGCAGCTGCCTCACAGATCTAAAAATGCAAATCTAGTCACAGGCTCCTTTTTCTTAACCCTTCAAGGAGTATTCTGCTCTCAGGATAAAAAACAAAACCCCCAGTGTTGGCTGCAAGGTCTTGAATGCTGTGGACCTGGTGCCTCTCCAGGCTCACCTGAATAACTGTCCCCTTCATTCCAGCCTCATGAGCCTTTCAGTTACAAAGGCTTTTTGGCCAGAAAGCCCATGTGTAGTGACTGTGAAGTAAAATAAAGTCTTAAGCACCCCAGTTGACCCACTCTTGGCCAAGGGAACTCCCCACCACCACCACCACCACCACACAAACCTTAAAGCTGAGTTGTCACACACACCTAGTTATGCCCTGTCCCTTTTGGAGTTATTCTTTGTAAAAATAAGACACAAAATCATTAACAGGCCTAAAAGCCACGTAACATAAAGGTTAAACCACGCCTGCAGGCCACCAATTTACTTAACAGATCACTTGAGTCTCCGTATATGTCCAGTGGTTTGTCTATGATTAGTAGACTTCCTTAAAACATACCAAGCCTTCATTTATTTAACCAACTACAAATCAAAGAATCTTAAAGATTCTTTATAGAAGGGTTTAAAACCCTCCTATAACCTGTAATCCCCGCTTGGAGATGTCCTGCCTTTTTGGGCCAAACCAATGTATGCCTTCCATGTATTGATTTATGACTACGTGTAATTCCTGTCTCCCTGAGATATATAAACCAAACTGTAATCCAAACATGGTGAGGCCACTTGCTCAAGGCTTCTACGACGTGGCTCTCCGAGCCATGATCGCTTGTATTCGGCTCAGAATAAACCTCTTTAAATTAGTGTACAGAGTTTGGGTTCTGGCTGGGCGCAGTGGCTCACGCCTGTAATCCCAGCACTCTGGGAGGCTCAGGTGGGCGGATTGCTCAAGGTCAGGAGTTCGAAACCAGCCTGAGCAAGAGCAAGACCCCGTCTCTACTGTAAATAGAAAGAAATTAATTGGCCAACTAACATATATAGAAAAAATTAGCCGGGCATGGTGGCGCATCCCTGTAGTCCCAGCTACTCAGGAGGCTGAGGCAGGAGGATTGCTTGAGCCCAGGAGTTTGAGGTTGCTGTGAGCTAGGCTGACGCCACCGCACTCACTCTAGCCTGGGGAACAAAGTGAGACTCTGTCTCAAAAAAAAAAAAAAAAAAAACGAAACCAGAGTTTGGGTTCTTTTCTGTTGACAGGACTCTGCCTGGTTTCGCCCAATTACCCACTGGAGGTCAGCTCCCCGCCTCTGTCAGCCTTCTCCCCTCTCCCTGGGCATGTTTCTGCAGAGGCCTCCTTTGCAATTTTACAACCCTGGGGTTCGCATCTGTCTGTCCCATAGAAGGTCAGCTCCAGGGAGGCAGGCGCCCTACACAGCAGCGTCCCCAGCAGGCGCTCGCCGGTGGGTCAGGGGAAGCACCTCGGGCAGGAACAGCGGCCCGGCCTTCGCCCCCAACTCCTACTCAGTCATGCTGCCTCGGCTCTCGGGGAACACACGTCGACAGGTCGAGACGTTTGCTCATATCTGTCGCCCCACGAAGCACAAACTAGAGCAGGCTCCTGGTCGTTCGCCTCCCACCCCTGACGTGCCGCCGCCCCTCCCCTTCGTCCGAGCCAGCGGCGACGCCCCACAGCTCAGCACCAGAAGCCCCCCGCCACTCCCCGAGGTCTGCGGCCGCGTGGATCCTGCTTCTGTCCTTGGGTCCAAGCCAGCCCCTACCAGCCTGGGTCAGAGGTGCTCTCACTGGCCGCCTTCCGGCCAGGCACCGCGATAGGCAGCCTGCCAGTTGGGTCTTTCAGGCCTTCGTCTGGGCAGCCCTACTGGGGTCCTTGCGCGGTTGCGTAGCAGCTGCAAGGACGCTGGCCGAGCCGGAAGCGGAGTGCAGTGCCGCGTGAGTCTGTGCCGGCTGTCGTGGTCCGAGACGCGGCGAGGTTCGAGGCGGGCCGTGGGGCCCGAGGGGCCGCTGGCCGCGGGCGGGCTAACCCGAGGCGTCCCTGGTCTCTCCAGCCCTCGCCTGGGACCGCATGTGAGGACGAATCCGCCTGGGTAGCGAACTCAGCGTGCGGGAACCGCCCGCGCTGGCGGTGCTTGGGGCCTGGGCGGAAGGGAGGGCCGGGTCGGGGGAAGGACGGGACGGTGGGTTCATGCGGCGGTAGTTGGTGCCTCAAAATATTTGTCTAGTGAAACAGCTTGCCCACTGGATCTCAAGGACGACGACAGCTGTCGAAAGTCTTCGCGCACGGAGCGATACGGCTGGGTTTGCCTTCAAACACCTTGCGGTGTCTACAGGGTATAGGTGGAAGGCGCAGACCCCTCTCCGTGCTTACCAAGCACTTGCCGCTTCCCAGGAATTGCGCTAGAGGCTGAGTGTACCTCGGTAAACACGCTTAGTCCCTGCCTATGCAGAGGCAATAGCTGTGCGGTGACCCAGTCAGGGAAACTCGGGCGCTTTGTTAATATTTCCATCCCTTACCGTGTGCGCACTTCTGTCATAGCTTTTACCACAGTAGACTCTGGCATCACTGTGTCTCGTATCCTCTGGTCCCGATGCACTGTCTGCTCATGGTGAATGCTCAGTAGGGTCCAGTCATTGCTGCTATGTTGTCATCATCGTATCATTTCTATGTGGCCAGCTAACTCAGAGTCTGGACTATGGTACATTCTTAGGAATGTTGGCAAAGTAGTATTTGGGTGTGAGGGGAGTAGAACAAAGCTAGAGATGATGTTACACTTAGATGTTGGCGCTGGGTGGCTGGTGATGTACAGATGGTGACTGTGAGGAGCAGCATTTGGGGTGGGCTAGACTGGCACGGAGAGAAGCAGTCTGGGTGCAGGTTCATTTTGGCATTGTCAGCATTTACGAGGTACTGGAAATTAGTAGAGGTTGACATACCCCTGGAGAAGAGGGTTCAGGGAATACTCCAGTTGAGGGAGGAGAGGCATGTGCCAGTTGCAGTAGGGTGGAAAATGAAGGGAGGTGAGAGGCATGAGGGCAGAGGATCAGGAACATGGGTTACGCATCTTTGGCTGTGTAGTCTGTGTCATTCAGTAATGAGAGCTCAGGCTTTCAGGCAGACGGTATCTCATATCAACCAAGTGACGTGGGTACTGATTTTTGTCCCTTTTTCACAAGTGAGAAAACTTTTATATGTTGAACTTGTAAAGTTTCAGCATGGCTTTAGATTACCATCTCTCTAGGTGGAGGTAGGAGGTGTGGCCTTGAGCATACCCACAGTGGGAAGATTATTTAGGAGATTATTAGGAGAAACCACACTAAGAGGACAAGGTTACAACCCCAAGGCTCAGCACGTAGCAGCCAAATTGGTGGTGAATGAAGAAGGGTGTGTTTCTTGGGGCCCCTCTCTCCTTGGCTCATTGGCTCTCTTTTGCAGGAAAACGAAGAAATAGATTTGTTTGAGGGAACCTCCCATCTCTCTAACAGCAGCCTCTTGTTGCTCTTCCCAAACAGTGACAAGACCCCCTTCCTCTGGGCTGGACCCCTCTCTACAGCTAGGAATCAATGGCAGGTGACAGAGCCAAACCCTGTGAGCTGGACCAAGAGAAATACGATGCTGATGACAACGTGAAGATCATCTGCCTGGGAGACAGTGCAGTGGGCAAGTCCAAGTATGTTGGGAGATTAGGGAAGAAAGGCCAGGCCCAGAGTGGGTCTGGGTCGTTAGAAAAGTCCTCCAGAGCCACAGGGGAGCATAGCTTCCATGGGATGGTGAGGGGGAGTAGTCTTGGCTGAAGCCCAAGCATACATGAGGGGAATCACATCAGCAGTTGTGTGTGTTCTTTGGGAGGGGACAAGTCATAGGACTGAGGAATTGGAGCATTTCCATAAGTCCTGACAGCTATGGAGCAGGTGAGGATACTGTATGTGGTCTGTGGGCTGAGGGATTGCAAGGGCAGGGGAGTGGGAATGAAGAGAGGAAAGCTACCACACAGCTGGTTGACATGTTGAATAAAGGCGATAAAGATGCTTTCTGAAGGGATTCACTGAGCTTGAGAAGAATGGATAGAAATGATGATTGACTATAATCATTGTGAAGACTAGTGCCTAGAAGCTTATTCAGTGCCTAGACGCACAGGTGTGGAACTATCCACCTAGAGAGTTGAAGGGAGGCTCTGCAGTGCTTATCTCCATTTCTCACCTCTCTAGGTCTGCTGAAGGTACATTGTCTATTTCTGCCTTTACAGATGAGTGTAGATTTGTCCCCACCTAGAGGTCTGGTTTAGTCTTACCTCCCAAGTGCTCTAGCCCCACTCTATTTTCTACTTTCATTTTTATTAACATATCCTTGGACTTGGATAGCTATGAATAATTCTCTAGGTGCTTTGCTGGTTTTGAGGCCATCTTCATGAGTTCATATTCTCTCTCTCTCACACTCTTCCCCACCCCACACTCACACACTGCAACTCTAATTTAGTGTTTTACAGTTGCTTTGACCATCCTCAACAACATGCATATACAATAAAAATTAGGGTAGCTGTTGTAGTCTGAGGAGTCTGCCCAATAAATAACACCCCCTCTATCCCCACCTCAATTTCAAACCAACGAAGAGAAAACAGGAAATGCAGGCAAGTGGAGAACAGATTGTCAGCTAAATAACTGATGGAGCTTTGGGAGGATATAGCTGGGTGTGATACACCAGGTGGCCTGCCAACTCCATGCTGCCCAACCCCCAAGTTTAATGCTCGTCTCTTATAAGTCTCATGTAAAACAATACCAAAAAAGAGTGAGTAGTTGACAGGATATCAAAGATTACCATAACATTGGCCTCCACAGCCACATCTCAGGCAAAACATCCCAGATATAAACACTGTGATGAGAACAGTGTATCTGAGGGAAAGTGAGTAGGTGAGAAAACCATGGTTCAAGGTTTCATGATCTTTCCATTTATTTCTCTCGTTTAGTTTCCTTGGACTCATTTTATGTCACTTTTCATCTAACCTGTGAATCTAACTTGGGAATTTTTCCTGCCATCTTGTGGGTTGGCTTTGTCACTTTCTTGATAGTGTCCTTTGATGTACACAAGTTTGAAATTTCGAGGAAGTCCAACTTACCTCTTTTTCTCTTATTTCCTGTGCTTTTGGTGTCATATTTAAGGAATTATTCTAAATTCAAAGTCATGAAGATTTTCTCATATATTTTCTTCTATGAGTTTTACAGTATTATTGTGTTTTTTTGGGTTTTTTTTGAGACATGGTCTTACTCTGTTGCCTTGGGTAGAGTGCAATGGCATCATCATAGCTCATTACAATCGCCAATTCTTGGGCTCAAGCAATCTTCTCGCCTTAGCCTCCTGAGTAGCTGGGACTACAGGTGCTTTGAATTGCACCCAGCTAATTTTTCTATTTTTGGTAGAGACAAGGTCTCATTCTTGCTCAGGCTGGTCTTGAACTCCTGACCTCAAGTGATCCTCCCACCTTGGCCTCCCAGAGTGCTAGGATTACAGGTGTGAACCACTGCGCTCTTCAATCTATGTCGAGTTAACATTTTTATATGGTGTGAGGTAAGGATCCCTATTCATTCTTGTACATGTGGATATCCAGTTTTCTGAGCACCATTTGTTGAAGAGACTCTCCTTTCCCCCATTGAATGATCTTAGCACCCTTGTCAAAAAATCAGTTGACCCTATATGGGAGCATTCCTTTCTGGGCCCTGTATTCTACTGGTCTTTATGTTTTTCCTTAGGCCAGGACCACACTGTTTCAATTCCTGTAGCTTTGTGGAAAGTTTTGAAATCAGGAAGCATGAGTCTTCCAAGTTTGTTCTTTTTCAAAATTTTTTGGGCTGTTTGGGGTCCCTTGACATTCCATATGAATTTTTACAATATGTTTTTTTTATTTCAACCAAAAAAAGCCATTGAGATTTTGATATGAATTGCATTGATTCTGTAGATTGCTTTGGGTAGTGTTATCTATCTAACTATTAAGTCTTCAAATTCATTGATAAAGATGTCTTTCCATCTATTTGTCTTTTTTTTTTTTTTTGAGAAAGAGTCTTACTCTGTTGCCTGGGCTAGAGTGCCATGGCGTCAACTTAGCTCACAGCAACTCTCAACTCTGGGCTCAAGCGATCTCTGCCTTAGCCTCCAAGTAGCTGGACTATGGCATGTGCACCATGCCTGGCTATTTTTATAATATTTTGGATTAGTTGAATTTTAAATTTTTTTTTTTTACGTTTGGTCCAGCTATTTCTTTCTCTTTTCTTACTTCTCTTTCTTCTCTTCTCTTTCTTCTGGTCTCTTCTCTATTTGCTCTTTTTTGCTTTCTTTCTTCTCTTCTCTTCTTTTTCTTCTGTGCAAAGTCTTGCTCTTGCTTAGGCTGTCAAAAAACTCCTGAACTCCAGAACTGTCACTCACCTCAGCCTCCCAGAGTGCTAAGATTACAGGCGTGAGCCACTGTGCCTGGCCTGTCTTTGGTTTTAATATCAGGGTTAACTGGCCTCATAAAATGAATTGGGAAGTATTTCCTCCTCTTCTGTTTTTCTGGAAGAGATTGTGTAAAATTGATATTAACTGTTCTACAAATGTTTGGTAAAATTCTCCCTTGAAAACATGTGGGCCTGAAGAGTTTGGGGGGCGGATTCTTTAATTATGTTATAAATCTCATTAGGTCTTTTTCATACTGGGTGAGTTTTGGTAGTTCGCCTTTTTAAGGAATTGGCCCATTTTTTCTAAGTTGCCAGTAGGATTGTGTGTAGAGTTGTTTGTAGAAGGCTGTGAGAACTATGTGTATTAGATAAGCTGTATTTAGGTATGAGTTACAGTGTATTGGCCATGAGGTCAATGACAATGAGTCCACAATATGAAGGGTCTTCAAAAAGTTCATGGAAAATGCATATTACGAAAAAGTAATGTGTGGATCTGAAAAATTGGTTGCACCAAAATAAATTTATACTAACTTGTTATAGCATATCTGAACAGGATCTAATTGAAAGCACTAAGAAGGATAAGACATCAGTTTGAAAAGAGATCCTATCAAAGAAATATGAATTCTGCTAAAATTGAAACAATAAAAATCAAATTTAGGGTGAAGCTTGGGTGGAAGAAGGATGAAATAAATCACTGATGCTTTACTAAAAGTTTGTGGGGACAGTGCCCCAAAGAAATTAATAGTTTACAAATGGGTAAGGGACAAGATGATGTCGAAGATTAAGCCAACAGCGGCAGACCTTCTATATCTATTTGCAGGGAAGATATTAATCTTGTTTGTGTCCTAATCGAAGAGGACCAACAGTTAACAGCAGAAACAATAGCTAATACCGTAAACATCTCAACTGGTTCAGTTTACACAATTCTGACTGAAAATTTAAAGTTGAGCAAACTTTCCACTTGGGTGCCAAAAGTGTTGCACTCAGATCAGCTGCAGACAACAGCAGAGTTTTCAGTGGAAATCTTAAACAAGTGGGATCAAGATCTTGAAGCTTTTCTCAAAGAATTGTAACAGGAGATGGAACCTGGCTTTATGAGAGTGTTTTGAAAAAGTTAGCCAAAGCTTTAGCAGGAAAACACACAAGAGCACTTCACCAGGGAGGTCTTCACCACAATTCTGCAGCTCATTGCTCTCATCACACAGGGCAATTTTACAAGAGTTTCAATGGGAAATCATTAAGTATCCACCTTACAGTCTTTCTGAATTCTTTTTGTTTCCTAATCCTAATCCTAAGAAATCTTTGAAGGACACCCATTTTTCTTTAGTTAATAATGTATTAAAGTCTACATTGATGTTGTGGAATTCCAGGGACCCTCAGTTCTTTAGGGATGAACTAAATGTATCATTGCTTACAAACGTGTCTTGACCTTGATGGAGACAATGTTGAGAAATAAAGTGGTTTTTTTTCTTTAAATTCAATTTTTTCATGAACTTTTAAAACCCCTTGTATATATTAAATAAGGTGTATTTAAACAGAAACATGCATAAAACAAGGTTATATATTGATTGATTGATGAAAAAGTTGAAACCAGAGGCTCACAGAAACCTAACCCTGTATTTCCCATAGGAGCAACAGTCAGTGGTCACTAATTCTGTGTTTGTAGAGGCGTTTTAGAACATAACTGTCGGGAATGAGAATCAACTGTAATTATTGATTTGTTAGAGTTTAAGTCTGCCCTTTTAGTTTTTGTTTTCGGTTTTCCATTTTGAGGGTTCTTTTTCTGCCTTCCTATGGGTGAAACGCTTTTTAAAATTCTATTTTGATTTATCTATGGTACTATTGAGTGTATCTCTTTGTATAGCTCTTATGGTGTTTTTTCTAGGTATTAAGTTATATACAGATAACTTCTCCATCTAGTGGTGTTGACACTGGTTAAAGTGTAGGCGCCATATCTCCTTTACCTTCCTGTTGCATTGTTTTAAATATTTCTAATATGTATGTTGAGAACTCCATCAGTGTTATAATTTTTGCTTTAACCATGAAAAATAATTTTAAAATTTTAAAGAGGAAGAGACATTCTACTGTGTTTACCAATATTTTTCCTTACCATGTTCTTCCTTCCTTCCTGATATTCCAAGGTTTCTTGTTTTATTGTTTCCTTCTGTCTCAAGAACTTCCTTTAGCTAATCTTTTAGGGTAGGTCTGCTAGAAACAGATTATCTTCATTTTCTTTCTTATGAGAAAGTCTCGATTTCCCCTTCAGTCTCAAGAGATATTTTCACTGGATGTAGAGTTCTGGGTTGATGGTTGTTTTTTTCAGTACTTGAGAATATATGCCACTTCCTATGGCCTCCATGGTTTCTGAGGAGAAATCCTCTGTCATTCAGATGATTTTTACCCTGTAGGTACGATGTTGCTTCTCTCCCAATGCTTTCTTTTTGCCTTTAGATTTCAGGAGTTTGACTATGCTATACTATGTCTTGGTGTGGATTTCCTTGGATTTATTGTGCTTGACTTTTCCCCCCCTTTTTTGGTTTGTTTCTGCATTTTGTTTTTGACACAGGGTCTTACTCTGTTGCTCATGCAATGTGATCATAGCTCACTGCAACCTCAGACTTCTGGGCTCAGGCAATCCTCCTGCCTCAGCCTTCTAAGTACTTAGAACTACAGGCATGCAGCACCGTGCCTGGTTAATTTGGTTTTGTTTTTGTTTTTTGGGGTTTTTTTTTTAGTTTTTATAAGACGGGGTCTCATTATGTTGCCCAGGCTGGTCTTGAACTCCTGGTCTCAAGCAATCCTCCCACGTAGGCCTCCCAAGTTGCTAGGATTATAGACATGAGCCACCACACCTGGCCTTCTTGTTTGACTTTTGCTCAGCTTCTGGACTGTATAGGTTTGTCTTTTGCCAAATTAAAGAAGTTTTTAGGCATTATTTTTTCTATTACTTTTTCAGCCTGGTCCTCTTATTCTTCTCCTCCTGGGATTCCAGTGAGAAAGATGTCATCTTATAGACTCACAGGTTCCCAAGGCTCTGTTTATTTTTTGCCAGTTTCTTTTCTTACTCTTGTTCATGGCAGGTAATTTCTTTTGTTCTGTTCTAAAGTTCAGTGATTCTTTCCTCTGTCCTCTCATCCTACCGTGAGCCCATCCAGTAAATTTTTTATTTTCGTTATCATATTTCCAGATGTTTTAAAAATTCCATTGGGTTCTTCTTTATATCTTCTATTTCTTAGCTGAAAAATAGTCTCTTTGCTGAAACTCTGTATTTCTTTGCTGAGACTGTCTACATTTTTATTTGTTTCAAGCACATCTGTAGTTTCCCAGTGCAGCATTTTTATGACAGCTGCTCTAAGAGCTTTGTCAGATAATTGTAAAATCTGTGTCATCTCTAGAAGTCTGTTGATTTGCTTTTTTCACTCAGCTTGAGATCTTCCTGGTTCTTGGTATGACGAATGATTGTCTATTGAAACTTGGGCATTTTGAGTATCATATTATGAGCCTCTGACTCTTACTCAAACCTTGTGTTTAGCTGGGTTGTTGGTTTTTTTGTAGAGTTGTGGTATTGCTCAGGCTGGTCTCAAACTCCTGCCCTCAAGCGATTCTCCAGCCTCAGCCTCCTGAGGTGTGAGGATTACAGGCATGAGCCACTGCTCCTGGCCATGCTTAGCTGGCTTCTTGTGGCACCACTTCAGCAGGGCGACACCCACCCATACCCACCATCCTCATTACTGTCAGTAGGGATGCAGTCCAGGCTCTGTTGACACTGGGTGGGGGCCTCGTTACTGTCTGATAGAGATGAAAGTTTTGGCTCTGGTCGGTCTTCTGTGACACCAACCCTCTGGGGAGTGTTGTTGGGGTGCCTTGTTATATAGCCTTGGCCTTTATAGGTGGGGCTACAATTTTTCCATGATGTTTGGATCATGGTTGCAGTCTAAATGTTTTCTGTTTCGAAGCACTCACCCTTGACTGTTCTTTTGGTTGGAGAGAGCAGTCTGTTGGTGTTTTGGTGGGGTTCTTTTGTGTATGCCCATTGGTGTGTCTGCTTCTTCAGCCCAGATCTGGGATGTATGAGGCACAAAGAAAAGCCAGAGAACTTAACACTGTGTCGTTCCTTGGTGTTTTGATCCCTAGCCCATCTGCCTTCTATTTTCCAGATTCTTATATTTGATTTCTATATTGTGTAGAGGTTTTAATTGTCCTGAGGGGAGTAGGAAAAGTACATTACAAAATTTTCCCATAAGCAGAAATTATTACTATATGGAACTTTTATATTTTTCTATCTTGAATGTTTCTTAAATATCCTTTATGGTTTCTTTTCTAACCTATAAGATATTTATAAGTGGTTTTATATGTTTGGTTATCTCTTAATTTTATAATATAGGGTTGTTGAAATTTAGTTTGGATTTTCTATTTATAACTTAATTGCGTTATGGTGAGATGACATGATCTGACATATTTGAGGGGAGGGTATTTTCTTTTTTAGATTTACTATATGGTCTAATTGATGGTCATTGGTTATGAAAGCCAGAAAAGGATGTGTTTCTCCCATTGGATTCAGGGATATGTACAATATCTGGCTTATAAACTGTTCACCTTCATCCATTCAAATACCAAGTGAGCACCGCTCTGTCCTCCTCACTGGGGTTGCAGCAGTGAACTATAAATTCAAATCCAGCACTCATGGACATTCCATTTAAATTGAGAAAGAAAGACAGCAAATAAGTAAAATACTTAATATTTCAGCTGGTGTTATGTGAAGTGCAGGGTTGCCGAGGATGGTCTCACTACTTGAGTGACATTTGAGCAAAGCCATGAAGGATCTGCAGAATTTGGGGAAAATGGCTTTTGGGTACAGTGCACAGGCTTCCTGGCCTCAGTTTTCCTGTGCATAAAGTGGGGATAATTTTATGTGCAATATTGTGCTGAGGTGGAAACAACAGATCTGAGAGCTTCACATGGGCTGGTCTGTGACTCATAGTGATGTGAGCTGTTCTGTTATGAGGGGTTGGTAATGGAGATTCCCAGGTTCCGGGCTTGACCTGGAAATGGGCTATGGAATGAATGGGGAAGAGGAGTGGCTTCTAGGTTGTCAGCTTGGGGGTGATAAACTAGGTGGAAGGGGGAGATAGGGATGCCACCTGACCACTGTGCATGTTCTCCTTACAGACTCATGGAGAGATTTCTCATGGATGGATTGTATCCTTCAAGATTTGAAAGGCCCCTTGTTCCTGGAGTGCTCCTTGTTCCTGGGGTCTTCCTACACTCATGTATCTCTACCCTACTCCCCACCCCTCTGTACCAGCAGTCCAGGCAGGGATGGATAACTGAATATACAGGTTTCATTCACACTGGTTTATTGCCTGTTGACCCACGTAACATCACACAGTCAGTGCTGTACATTTTGGAACTTACTCATGTTTGGATTTGTTTTATATTAGGAAGGCAGTAGAATAGCTAACAACACCTGATCTGGATCACATGCCTGTATTCAAACTCCACTTACTCCTCCTCCTTAGTAGCTTCTGATCTTGGACAAGTCGCTAGCCTCTCTAACCTCAAAGCTTGGGCCCCCTAATATTTAAAAAATCTCTGATATAAATGAACTTGGTAAAATATGAGGTGCCAGTCCCTCCTTTGCCCCATGAATTGTTACATTGTGCAGGTTTGGAGTGAGTTCCTCCCAGCAACTGGGAGGTTTTTAAAAGGCTTCCCCAGTAGATCCACTGAGAACCATAGGTAAGAAGAACCCCTGGACCCTATTGCTCCCTGCCATAGGCCCAGCACCCCAAGGCTGATGGCAGTCACCCTGGGATCTGAGTGGATCTTGCCCCACCTTATATCAGGTGATCCTGTGCACCCAGTACACCTGCATCATCTCAGTCCTTGGTAGTTAAGCCATCTGGCATCTTGCAGCTTCAGTGGGCATCATTCCCCCAGGCCTTTGTTAGGGTTTCATACACAGGCAAACTACACTTTATAAACAGCTTGTCAGTTATCTGGCTTGTAGGAGCTTTTTTATCCAGAATGATGATGTTGCTATCTAGGGTTAGAGTTTTCTTTCTAGTCTGCAAGTACACCATCCGTGAAGGAGCTGGAGCATCCACAGTTAACATTTCCAACTACATGATGCTGTTTGTGACACTTCCTTTGTAAAATTCTGTTTTACCTCGGACTTAGATGGCCAGGACTCACTCCCAGTTCCCCCCGCCACTCTTCCGTGGAGCTTATGCAGTGATATTTGAAGCTGATCCTCTGTCTGCAGCATTCATTTCATTTAAAATCTAAATAACTACAAAAAGAAAAGGAAGGAGAGGATCCTTTTCATCATACCAAGCACCCCTGCTGCCCACTTCTTCCTTACCTCACCTTTTATTGATATTTGCTCCCTAACCTGAATGCAGTCAGCCACAGCAGTTGTCCACGTATGCCCTGACCCTGTATAAGCACACGGCCACGGTAGATGGCAAGACCATTCTTGTGGGTGAGCATCATGGGGCCAGGCCATGCCAACTCTCAAGGGGGAGGAAATGGGGGAGGAGGGGAGATGGACAGAGGTCCATGGGAGAGAGTCGGGGAAGAAATGAGACCCCAGGCAGGATCGAGGGGTGATCAGCAGAACCCCAAGAGTCAGGAGCCAGGAGGCCAGGGAGGGTAGAATGAGGCACACAAGGGCCAAGTTCCAACTCTCTGATGTGGTGTCCAGGCCAGGACCAGTGTGCAGGGCAGGGTTCAGAAAAGCAGAAGTCAGTAGGCTGTGCCTACCAGAGGGAAGAGGAAAAGAGAGAGGCCTTTGACAAGGCAGTAGCTTTCCTAGTTTCAGGGGTTCTCATTCAGCCAGTGTAAAGAAATAACAAATGTAGTCGAAACATTATCTCCACACAGGGTTTTGATCTTCTCCTTAGCCAGGCCTCTCAGCCTGCCTGACTGTCTACCATCTGTGGTCAGCACACATGGGAAGTCAGCTTAGTTTTGACCTTGGGGGCCTGCACCTTATGTGTGGGAATGAGGGGAACCTACCTTTTCCTCCTGAGGCTTCCTCTCTGTATTGTCCTTCCTCCTGGTCCCTGTCCCATGTCCTCCCTTGCACACTGGTGCACACACACCTCTCAAAGCACACCCAGGTATACTGTGTCTTGAGGACACAGATGTGGAGCTGTGTGGTCTCCATTCCTCCCTGTGCTCCCCCCCACACACACACATGCCATGTGGTTTGTGCCACATGTGTATTGTAGCTCTGCACAGAAATGCTCAGGGTGTGTATGTCTCTCTGCCCTCCAGCCCCCATCAGGCAGTCAGAGCTGTGTTCTCGTTGCAGACTTTTGGGATACGGCTGGCCAGGAGCGGTTCCAGAGCATGCATGCCTCCTACTACCACAAGGCCCATGCCTGCATCATGGTACGAGACCAGGTGGGCGGTGGACAGAGGCGGTGGGCAAGTCTGGTCTGAGGGGTGAGGGGCCTGGCAGCCCTGAGCCCTCCTAACCATACCTAGGTGCTATGAGAAGGCAGTCAGGGCCGCCCAGGAACCATACATGCTCTCCAGAGCTTCTAAGTGAGAATGGAGCAGGTGAGCTCTCTTCTGGTGGGGATGGGTGAAGAAAAGGTAAAGAACTACCACACCAGGGGATCAGCAAGCTCAGGGCTTCAACATCAGGTATAGCATCCAGGAGGCAAACGTGGCCGAGACAGCGCCACAGTTCCTCCCTGATGGAGCCCACCCTCTCAGAGAAGCTCTCAGGGCCTCCCTTGACCGGTGCCAGCAGCTTTTCTCTAGAGGCAGAGCTGAGGCTCAGTGGACCCAGCAGGTCCCAGGAAACTTTCCCTCCCAACCTCTCATTTGCTTTCTGGGACACAGTCCTCAAGGTTTTACCCCAGTGGCCAGCATGTAGTAAGTACCACAAGAGTACCTGAAGCAGCTGTGAGAAAGGCAAGAAAGGAGAACGGAATCCTTCAGAAGTTCGTACACATGCATTCCCTGGATCGGGCCTCAGGCTACCACTTTTAGATGCTGAAAGGAGCATGCTTTTTTTTTTGGTCCACTTACAAACATTCATGATTATCAGCCATCTATAATGCATGAAGTAATAGCCTGGTTTTCTGAATTATGAACCATAGCAATTGTCACTAAATAAAAACCCCAGTCACTCAAACTTTTTCAAACAGCATTCAAGATCCTGCTTTAATATGAAAGCCAAAACTTGGTGACAAAAAACAGCCATTTTCTGATGAGTCAGGAATCCATGTCTGAGTTCTCAGCTGGGTAGACCCAAGGCTGGATCCCAGGCTAGAACCAGCTGAGGCATCTCCACACACACTGCAGCTGGCTGGGACATCAGCGGTTCTATGCCATGTGTCTCTGTGCAGTTTGTCTTGTGGGCTGATTTGGGCTTGCTCTCAGGGTGGGAGTTGTATTTCCTTTCATGGTGAGCCCTGGAAGTCACATGGCCTCACGCTGGCTGTAGTCACAAAGGGGAGAAACAGATAACACCTCTCAGTGGGGGGCCAGTCACATGATAAGAGCATATGGGGTGGATGATTTGCCATTGTTGGTATATAGTCTGCCATGGCACTCCACAGCATTTAGATTCCACCCACCCTTCCAGCCTTACCTCCCACCTAGTGATTGTCCGCAGCATGTGCGGCCTCACCTTGGCACTGAGGGGTGCACAGCTAAGCAGAGGTCCTTTCGTCTGTGAGGAGCAACAGCAGAGGACCACAGAAGGAGCTGGTCTGTTCTGCTCACTGTTACCTGCTCTGCACATCCTGCTTTTCCCTCAGCCCCTCCCATGGTCACACCCTTTACTTGAAACTGCTCATTTCTCATTCCTTGCTCTTTGCCACCCACTCCATGCAGTCTCTGATGTTTATCATTAAAATTCCTCTTTCTTGTGTGTGCCCACAACACTCTGACCACTTCTAGCACATGAATTCTGTGTGTGATGTGCAGGTGCAGGGACCAGAGGTGCCAGGGTGGAAAGACACAAGTATTGCCCCAGGAGCTCACCATTGGGTCAGCACAAGTGCCGATACCTGTGGTGGGGACATTGAGGATTCTTCCCGACCCTTTGCAGATAGTGAAGGAAGGAGCTTATCACCTGATTTCTACCACTGCCCCTTAAGCACAAATTCCCTTGAAAATTCCAAAAATTTTGATACTAATAACTGTAAGGGTAGTAAACAAAAGAGGATGATGGGGTAAGGCACATGGGAGCAGTGTGGTACAGAAGTCTGACCCTCAAGAACTGGGAAGGTTAGTCCTAGCTGTTAGTTTCACTCCTGCTCTTGCATGGGGTATTTGGAACTCACCTCTTAGAGTAACCTCCTCCTGCCTTTTATGCATCTCCATTGGTTCCTCTCAGACCCCCTTCTGAGGACTGGGAACATCTCCCCTCCCAGCATCCCTGTACCTGCAGGTGCCTGCCACCAGCCTCGTCTGCTGCCCAGGGCCTGGCAGGTTGCAAACCTTCACCTGACCACTGGGGAGCTCATGGTCACAGAGGAAGTCAAGACTCCACCCCACCATGAAACCTTGAGGCAGGGATGTTCCTCGTTCTAGCCAGCTCCTTCTCCTCTCCAAAACGCAGAAAGGGTGCTCAGGAAACCAGGCCTGGACAGAAAGTGCCTACAAGTTTCATTACAAGCAAGCTTTGTCAGAAGTCTTCATTGGGAATTCAAGGCAATGTATTTATTTGTTGAAATTGGGCCTCGTGAGTACCATGGAAGAAATTCCAGATTTCTGTAGCCTTTTGAGGTCATAGGTGGTGACCCACCACCCACTGCCATGAGGGGGAAGCCCCCAGGCCTGAGCTGGGACCATGTTGCTAGCACAAAGGGCTAGGCAATTTTGAAGTGAAGTCAGCCGTTCCAGGAGTTACGGGGCTGTTGTCCATAACCTGGTTGTACTAGGGCAGTTTGCATCTGTTAACCTATTCTGGAGGGCCACTGTTGTGATCCCTACACCAGCAACTCAGGAGTGTCTTAAGAGTCCTACCCTTAGAGCTGGTTTGCAGTGCTCATGCTTCTTGCTGATGATTTAAAATAGGTAAAAACATTAAATTATAAAAAGATAATAAAATTATAGGCTACAAATAACAAAAGATAAGAATTACTTTTAAAAAGTTTAAAGAATGAACAGAAGCTTAACAAAAGCTTAAAATTAGAAGTAAATCAATAGTAACTAAAGGAAAACTCTAGAGGCTGGGTGCGGTGGCTCACGCTTGTAATCCTAGCACTCTGGGAGGCCAAGATGGGCGGATTGTTTGAGCTCAGGATTGAGACCACCCTGAGCAAAAGTAAGACCTCGTCTCTACCAAAAATAGAAAAAATTAGCCAGGCATGGTGGCACATGCCTGTAGTCCCAGCTACTTGGGAGGTTGAGGCAGAAGGGTTGCTTGAGCCAGGAGTTGGAGGTTGCTGTGAGCTAGGCTGATGCCACGGCACTCTAGCATGGGCAACAGAATGAGACTGTCTCAAAAAAAAAAAAAAAGGAAAACTTTAGAAATATTGGTATTTATTACAAGGGAGTTTTAGAACAATTTTAACAAAAATAAGAAGAAAAAAAAGTTTGACAATTTTTAACAGATGATATTGATTTTATTTATAGTTGTTAAAGTAGGTAAATAAAATTAGATGTAAGATAACAAAAGGAATAAGATTTTTTTTTTTGAGACAGAGTCTCATTCTGTTGCCCGGGCTAGAGTGCCGTGGTGTCAGCTTAGTTCACAGCAACCTCACACTCCTAGGCTCAAGCAATCCTTTGCCTCAGCCTCCCGAGTAGCTGGGACTACAGGCATGTGCCACCATGCCCGGCTAATTTTTTTCTATATATATTTTTAGTTGGCCAATTAATTTGTTTCTATTTATGGTAGAGACAGGGTCTCACTCTTGCTCAAGCTGGTTTCGAACTCCTGACCTTTAGCCATCCACCTGCCTCGGCCTCCCAGAGTGCTAGGATTACAGGTGTGAGCCACCGCTCCTGGCCAAATAAGGAATAAGGTTTTTAAAAACGCTTTTGGGTCTAGAGGTTCCAGGGCTCTGCTTCCCTGAGAAGGGCAGGCGCAGCCTCTGTGGTGAGAGGGACTGCAATTCAGAGCATGTGTCTGAGTCCCCAAGACTGGCATGTGCCCATGCTCACCTGCGTAGGTATGTGAGTCACCTGAAAGAAGAATGCAGACACACTGACATACCTGAGCTATCTTCCTTCACCCTTTGCAGGTGTTCGATGTACAGAGGAAAGTCACCTATAAGAACCTGAGCACCTGGTATACAGAGCTTCGGGAATTCAGGCCAGAGATCCCGTGCATCGTAGTGGCCAATAAAATTGATGGTGGGGCCATCCTTTACCTGTGTGTCAGCAACTCACAGGGGACTCACCACCCCACATTTTCTCCACTCCTGGCGGGGTGGCGGGGGGGGGGGTGGGTAACCATCAGTGATCAGTCCTCCTTCCCAAGATACAAGGTGTGGTGGTTTGCATTGCTCCTTTCCTTGCAAAGATGCCAACTGAGCCAACCTGCCCTTCTCCCAGGACACAGATCCGTATTTATTGAACTCTCTAGAACATGTTCCTTGATCATCCCTGCCTATCCCACTTTTTGGAATGGGGCCTCCAGTGACTCACCCTCCAAACCCCTCTCTCTTTCCCTTGATGGACAGGCCAATTTCCTATATTTTCTCTACAGCAGACATAAAGGTGACCCAAAAAAACTTCAGTTTTGCCAGGAAGTTCTCCCTGCCCCTGTACTTTGTCTCAGCTGCTGATGGTACCAATGTTGTGAAGGTACGATAGACTGCAGAGGTCATCTAGTGAGGTTGGGGCACTAGGTGGTACAGTTGCCAGGGGAGCTGTGAAGAGAAGGGATGGCTGCAGGCGTATTGGAGAGAACCGGGACAGTGAGGGGATGTGTGCAGCAGGGAGGTGGGAGAGGGTGATGGTCCAGTGCTTGATGTGGCCAAAGTCCATTAGCCACATCATTGGGGTCAGGGTGATGGAAAGAAGGTGAATTGAGGGGTGAGCTTGCTGATTTTAGAGGTGGAGTATTATATGGACTCATGGTGGGGCCCACCATCTCTGCTTTATCCCCCAGCTCTTCAATGATGCAATTCGATTAGCTGTGTCTTACAAACAGAACTCCCAGGATTTCATGGACGAGGTTTTGCAGGAACTCGAGGTAGGTCAGGTCCATGTTTCAGATGGGATAGAAAAAAACAGGACTTCTCTTCAGAAATAATGGACTATAGCCCAGTGTAGTAGCTCTTGCCTGCACTTGCCACCCCTAAATGTATCAGAGATACAGTTGTGCAAATCCAGGGCCAGGCCTTACCTGAAACCTTGTTCACAGAACTTCAAATTGGAGCAGAAGGAGGAGGATGTGCCAGACCAGGAGCAGAGTGGCAGCATCGAGAGCCCTTCAGAGGAGGCGGCCTCTCCCCACAGCTGATGAGCTGGGGCTGGGGCCCCTTTCTAAATACCCCTCCCTTCAGCAACCTCCATTTCTGAATGGAGACACTCTCCAGGCCATGCCTCGTTCTACCTCCTGTAAACCTGCCCATCCCATTTGCCTGGCTCATGATACAGGGATGAGGTTAGCACAGTAAACTCTCTGGACCAGGTGTAAGAGGTCCACACCAGACCTCCGTGAAGCAGAATTAGGAATCAGTGTCATTAACACCTTCCCCAACCCCTACTCCCCAGGGTAGACAGTGAAGAGAATCAGTGAACATGCTCGGGTGTCTCTTTAATAAAAGCAAATTTAGGTCATTGGTTTCTTTCTTCCTAAAACTGACCTCAGGGACTGACTATTCCTTATGCTTCTTCTGAGGTAGCGGTTAGCCCTCTTCCCACCCCCCACAGACTCTGGGGCCCCCACCCTTTTCCCACATGATCTCCCATCCTTTTCCCACTTTAGTTGTCCAATCATCTTTATTTTAAAATGTTCTCAAGCAGACAGCTATTCATTCCAGATTTTCGAGACTACTTCAGGAGTTCTTCTAGGTGAGGGTGAGATCATAGGAACAGGCTTGCCATTGGAGCTAAGTAAAACCAGGTAACAGGTCTAGCCTAGTAAAACACAAGCATTGGTAAAAATCAGGGGTCAATACAGCTACACCACAGGTACACCCACTTGGATTACAAGAAATTAACTTTAAGAAGAGCTTCCTTGCTGGGCATGGTGGCTCACGCCTGTAATCCTAGCACTCTGGGAGACCAAGGCAGGCAGATCGTTTGAGCTCAGGAGTTTGAAACCAGCTTGAGCAAGAGCAAGACCCCATCTCTACTAAAAAAAATAGGAAGAAATTAGCTGGACAACTAAAATATATATTAGCCGGGCATGGTGGCGCATGCCTGTAGTCCCAGCTACTCGGGAGGCTGAGGCTGGAGGATCACTTGAGCCCAGGAGTTTGAGGTTGCTGTGAGCTAGGCTACCGCCATGGCACTCTAGCACGGGCAACAGAGTGAGACTCTGTCTCAAAAAAAAAAAAAGAGCTTCCTTTAAAAGTCCTGTATCAGCATAGGAGGCTGTCTGTTCTTTCATTGTCTCGCTGGATAGGTGGACGTCGTGCCCTGTGGGAGCCCAAGGATTGTTGGAAAGCTGTCCATCACCTTCCACTCCTCTCCAGTACTTGTGGTTGGCTCATATGTTTTTATGATCATTTTGTGCATTTATTGCATTGTTTTCATTAATTTATTTTGTTTTTATTGTTTCCTTTTTTACAGTAAAGGTCCACTTATGCAAACATTGAGTATATGTGTGTGCTTTGTAGGTCTGAAATGTACTAAGCAAAAAGGCACAAAAGAATTTGCAGATCACCCACCACATTAATGAGGGAGACTGCCTTGATCGGTCACAGGGTAGCTCAGGTTAATTCTTGATTTACTGTAATAGAGACCATTCTAGTGGAAATTGGTGTTTTAAAAAGAGTATTAAATTGGGAGCTCAAGAACAAATGTTTCCCCTTTATTTTAGTGATACTTACATGTTCGGTGTAAGATATTTCACGTGACCAGGGGTTTCCAGGAATGTATTACCCTGATGAGGTTGGATTTAGAGAAAAACCCAAAAATGTTAGTTATTGTAAATGACTACTAAGTATTTCTCTAAAACATAACAGGTTTGTTGAGATAGAATTCACATACCAAAGACACCTCCTCATTTGCCGGCAAATTAATAAACCTCTTTTCCTTCTCCTCAAACCATTTGTCCTTGTTCTTCTGATGCAGCCTCAGGGACAAATGCCAAACTTTCAGTAACAGAATTTGGGGTCCCCGAGTGGGCCCATCAGTACCCTAGTGGAATGACACCCCACCACTGCTGGAAGAGGCAGGGAGCAACCCCAGGTGAAAGCCATGGGTCTTCGCAGGTAGGAACAGCTTCTTTTCGAGGTGAGAGAGCAAGGGATGGCCCCAGCAGTTGCCGGAATCCGTTTTGGCTCTGGGGAACTCCCATCTCTGTCTCCCTGAAATAGACGCAGCTCCCCGCAACCTGAATTGAGTTGAGGAGAAGGAAATAGATCTGGGAAACGTCTGGACAGCCTCAGCCATTTGTTGAGTAAGTTCCCTGGGGTGCACCCCGAGATCCTGATTCCACCTGTTCAGGAGGTTTTCATACCTTCCTGTTGATTTGTTTTGAGGCGCCTTTGGGGGGTGGAAGTCACAAGGTTGAGGGGAACTAGGGAACCTGGTTTGAATTCGTAGCTCATTTGCAGTTCCCAGGGAACAGGGGGACTAGGCCGCCCATTTGGGGAGGGCTTTGAACCTTCCAGTTGAGGTGAGGTGGCGTTTATCCCCTTTGGATTCCCATTTGTAAACCTAGCCCTGTGGTAGGGCGTTTGAGGCACCGTTTGAGGTGCTTACTTGGGGTGGCGTTTGCCCCTTTGAATTCTTATTTGTTTGATAGAGCCGACATTTTTGTGTTGAGGATCTCCTGTGTTGTCTATTGTTTATGAGTTTTGTTGCAACATAAGGAAGCCCCATCTCCCATTTGATTGATAGGCTGTGGCATTTTAGATTGATTGTGTTGGGAATTCCTTTCTCTGGAGTGTGAGGAAAAGTGGTGGTTGATGTTTCTTGGTTTATTCCCAGGAATTTGTTGTTTGGATCCTAATTTTGATTTGGAGGTATATTTTAAGGGGTCTTCTCCATTGGCTCTTCACCCCAAAATTAATCTCAATTTTGGCCTTTTTGTGCTTTTGGAAAGGGGAAACCAAACTGATTTGTTTATAGAGAAATGAGAGCATGAGTTGTATGTGAGAGGGTGGGAACAACTCAGTGGTGAAACACTGTGGAGTCCTACCCATAACAGCATGCTCTGATCCACTGCACTAAACCCTAGACCACATAAGAATGGGAAACAAATCCTTTAAAAAAGGAAAGACAAGGAGAACGACCCCCACTTGGTTTATGGCACATCCACTTGCAAGTATTTGTATAAATGGAATGGTGCAAAGGCATGCCAGGTGGTCTAGGATAGCCAATTCTTGTGCACAAGTTTTTACTGAAAGGCAAATTATATCAAGGAAAATTCAGAGCTCAAATGGTTAACCTACGACTATAAAGTTAAAATGTTGAGTCTCAAGCTCTCTGTTTGAGATAAACTCATTGTTTATGGTCCATAAAATGATTAGTGTTTGTATGATTTTTGATAAATGAGATCTTCCCGCCCCCACCAGAACCCCCACAGCCTGCCAGGGCAAGGCACACAGTGTGGCCACAGCCTGGGGGTGGACCTGGCAGGAGGGAGGATGGGTGCAGGCGAGTGGCGCACAGCAAGGGGGAAGGAACGCCTTCACTGCTGCCTCTTGGCACCATAGGAGGAGCTGGAGGGCATGCCCTGAAGTAACTTGTCAACCCCACGCCCAGTAAATTATGACTCGGGTTTGGAATGGTCTCTCCCGGCAGCAAATTCAATTTGGGCCAGAGGGATCCCGTAGCCAGGGCAGGCAATATTCAGCAATGTCACATAGAGGGGCTTGAATATGCAGGAACAGCTGAAGGGTCCTTTGACATGGTCAAAAGAAATGGACAAAAAAGCTACCCCAGACTGACTTTTTGTAAAGAATAAAGACCTTGAAAGGAACATTGCCCAAAATTTTAAAGGACTCTGGGTGGCAGGAAGCTTCCAGGAAAGCAAATAGTTATTTTTTGTTTAAGTCCAGGACTCAGATGGTGAAGGAGGGAGCCCAGAGTCCCCTGCCTCCAAATATCCCCACAGAAGCCCCGGGCAAAACTGACAGTGGGGATTCAAATGGCACTGGCCACAGGGACAGAAGCAGTCTAGGGGGGCCCCTTCCCCCTCCCGCCACGCCAGTCCCTGGCACCAGCTGTGTGCCTGGTGCTCTGTGAGCCAGACGGGATGGTGGGGGAGGGGCTGGGTGGCAGTGAGGCAGCCATAGACAAGCAGAGGCTGAGAAACTCTTCACAGTGGGCCCCAGAGGCAGATCTGGGCGAGCAGCATGAGCACCAAGGTTTATTTCAGAAGTGGCAGAGGCTTACCTCTGCAGGAAGGCAGTGCACCACCAAGCTCCTGCTGGATGACTACCAGGGCCTGGTGAAGTACACAGAAGACGGCCATTGTACTTTGAAGTTCAGGCCTCACAGCAAGCCTGCACATGGTTCAGCCCAGGGAAAGAGGCTGAGCTGATGGAGAATCATGATGGATGCCGTGGACAGACAGCTACAGAGATGGCTCATCAGCTCCTCCTCCTACAGCCTCAATAGACACCCCATTGTCAACAGGACCCAGGAACACACTCCACGGGGCCCTGGTCATTTCACACAAGTGGTGATGGACCCTCCTTTGTAGCAGGGGTAACACACCAAATAAACAAAGCCCTACATCCTCTAAAGCAGGGTGAGATATTGCCACTTGACCCTACTCTGCATGAAGGTAGCCTTTTAGAAACAGGCTTAAGTTAAGCCCCTAAGAAATAGTTTATAAGAGACCCTTCCTAGCACCCCAAGGTAAGTATGGTAATGTAACCATGAGTTTGAAAAAAATGGAGTAAAATAGTATGTAAAATGAGTGGATGAGGTGCTAACCACTATGTGCGAGTTTGCCTCTTTAAGGTCCCTGCCCCAGTTGGAAACAGAGAAGTGGAAGGGACCCAAACTTATACTGTGCTAAAATTGTCAGAAGTGAAATATTGGGTCCATCCTACCAAAGGTAGACAATTCTTATGCCCCTTTTCACCTGATAATCTGTACCTTCCATTTAAATCGTCACCCCAATTCAGCAGGAAGTAGCTTGATGACTACATCACCCCTCCTCCCATAGATATGGAAGGGTAAAATTGACAATGGGGAATGTATAACAGAGAAAAAGGCCTGAAAAAGGCTAAAAATGTTTTCTGTCTTTTCAAAACCACTGTACCCTTTTTGAGAACTAAAACCTGTATCCCTGCCTCAGGCCAGTGATTGGGAGGGGCAGGAGAGTGTTCTTTGTGCCACAGGAGATGGCTCAAGGGAATTGGCTGGGTGGAGGTCACAAGATTGTCTTACCCAAAGATGGAATGAACTCAGGCAGAGGTCACAAGACTGTCTTAGCTGAGGATGGGATGAATTAGAACCTTTTTCAGCCGTCCTCAAACTATAGCCCGTGGGCCACATGCCGCCCGCTGAGGACAGTTATCTGGCCCACCGGGTGTTTTTGCTGCTGCTGCCTGTCCTGCTTAGCAGCCAACTTGTCCCGGACCCACAGTGCGCACTCTCCAATGGTCTGAGTGACAGTGAACCTGCCCCCTGTTTAAAAAATTTGAGGACCC